AAGATCTTGAATGTTTGGTTTATAATCCATTCCTGCAGCAAAGCAATATGCGACTGTAGGTGGAAGAATACAGAGAGCGTGTCCGTGGTTTTGACGCTTCTTTGCAAGATTATCTTTTTGTTGTTGCAAAGCTTGAGTATATTGCTGACCTTTCTCTGTCTGTTTAACTTTGCGTTTTGAGTGAGAGGAAGAGGAGACAGGTTGATCCTGAATATGGAGACAGTGTTCGTGTAAGGCAGGTTGAGGTAGATCAAGTTGTTGCTGTTGAGTAGGAGGTGGATCGATGAAAGACATGTCTTCAAATTCCTGCTCGAGAAGAGTCTGTTGACCAAGTTGTGGGAGTTGAATCTCTTGATTTGCAAGCGGAGTAGGATCTTCATGAGTAGATTCACAGTCTGATCCTTGTGGTGAAGAATCTTGAGGCGAAATCACCCCCCCATATGTTAGAGTGTGAAGATCAAGAGGAAGAACACCCCCCGAATCTACAGGGAGATCTGGATGGAAGTGGTCAGCATTAAGAGTAATATATCCAGAATCATCTTCGTCATCTGTATCCTCGCTGTCGAAAGTTGCAAGCGGGTGCACTGGATTGATTTCGATCTCATTAAATGTGACGTGAGAGGTGCGGATGACTTTGTTTTGCGTGGGGATGTAGATTCGATAAATGTGATCACCTTCGTAGCCAACGAGTTTGCCCTTCTGAGCTCAGACATGGAACTTCTGTCCTTGAACTCTCTTTTGCTTTGGTATGTAAACATAAGCTGTACAGCCAAATGTACGCCAGTGAGCAATGTTAGGGAGAATATGAGTTTGTTCGCAGAACTCAGAAAGCACTTGATGTGGTGTCTTTGTAAGGACACAGGGCACCCAGCTCACAGTAATAGCATATGAGAGTGCGAGTCGGAGGCTAAACGGATGCTATCCTATAGGTCTACTACGAAGGATACAAAAAAGATGAAGGGGAAACCCCGTTGAGTCTGTTTCCTTAACTCCCGAAACGGGCCCGACTCGGTTATCCCAACCCTAGCCCTGAACCTTCCACCGCAACAGGTCTACATCGGCCCTGAACCCTATACACTTACCGTCCCCCACTATAGTGTAACTCGCTATATGCTCCTCTACTGGTTCGAAACCCCACCGAGTCGGATTCCATGCTTGTAGTGACCGTAACAGTTCTGAGACAGGTTCTTCGAGTCGGATTCGATTCCATGCTTGTAGTGACCGTAACAGTTCTGAGACAGGTTCTTCGAGTATCTAGGTACGGAGGCATCCTTACAGTCTTTGAATTTTCGTTCTTGCGAGTAGGTGTTCTGTTCATGCTTTTGAGAGCTGTTATGAAAGCTTCTGGCCATATCTTGTATGGAAGTCCACTGCCTTGGATCATGGATCTGAGACGGACTTCCGTAGTATGGTTCGCCGTCTCGGCTTTGCCGTTCTGATATGAGTGGTATGGAGCCGATGGTTCATATTTGATTCCATACTTCTGACAAACCTCTTGAAGTTGTTGTTGTGAGAACTCTGTTCCTCCGTCAATGCGAAGTCTCTTGATGTGAGATCCCATCTGGTTGTGGTAGAAGTTGATGAACTTAATCAAAGCAGGAAAGGCATCACTCTTATTATTATAAGCTTCTCCCCATCGGTATCCTGAAAAATCATCTGTAAAAAGAATGAAGTATTTCTCTCCACGGTGTCCAGTGTTTGTAAGTGGGCCAACTGTATCACAGTGGATAAGATCTCCAACTGCAGTTGTCTTCTCTTGTGGTTGGTGAGAGATCTTCTGTTGTGCTTTTGTAAGATGGCATGTTTCACAGAACTGTTGTTCTCCAGTAAGCTTGTAGCCAAGTTGCTTTGCAAGATTATGGATGGAATCCCATCCTGCATGTGCAAGGCGTCGATGAAGGAGATTGATGTTAATGGAGATGATGGTGGGAACAACAGGTAAAGCAAGTGTACCCTGATCGATGTGTTGATCGCCAATGCCCATGACTTGTGGGCAGTAAAGCTGAAGAGTAGGATGGAATGGTGTGTACATGACTTCGATCCCTGTCCCTTAAGACGGAACGTCATAGTGTCTCCCATCCAGATGATTGCATTCTCTGTTCTAAACTGCAACACCTTGGCTGAGATGATGCTAACAGGAATGGTGGGCGCGTAGTAGACTTCTGTAATCTGACGCGTAACATGGTTGCCATCTGTATCAACAGTGACAAGTTGAACTGTTCCCTTTTGACGTGCAAAGACAGATCCATTTGCGGATTCAACTTGCAATGGGACGATATTTTGTAACGAGATGAAGGCATCTTTGTTGTTGCAAAGATGATAGCATGATCCGGTATTGACGATCCACATCTCCTTATACCATGATTGTGAAGTAGAGAGAACAAGTGAAGGTGTAGATGCAGGAGATGGAAGCATTGCCATAGTTATGATGCCTCTCTTAGAGTTCTTCTTGGCCGTCTTCTGATTGTTGTATTTCTTTACCCATTCTGCCTTTGGTGTGAATCCTGCAATTGTGCTCAACTCGGGGTGGAGATGAAAGCATTTGTCAACTGTATGGGATTTGCCACAGCATGGACACTTGTCACGTGTGTTTTGACAGTGTTGTGGTTTTGACTTTGTATGTTCCTTGTTGTGACCATTAAAGTTGACAAGGTTTCCATCATTCTTCTGCTTTGATTCATCAAGAACAGTGTTGATGCAGTCGTTGATGTCTGGCACTTTGCCATTGCGAAACTCTTGTCTCATAGTAGCAGCCCAAACAGGATAGAAGTTGGAGAGGATGTGGATAAACTGGAGAGTTCTGACGGTGTCGGTAATGTCGCATTTGGCTTCATTTGCTGCAGCCAGGAGTGATGACCATTTGTTGATAAACTTATCCAGTCCCTTGCCATCCCATGTACAGTTGATCCAGTTTGTATAGTGCACTAGCATCTGCACAGGACCTTCTGTATCATAGCGGGTTGTGATGAGGTCGAGCATCTCCTTTGCACTTTCAAGATCTTGGATTTGTGCAGTGAGTGTAGCTGGAACTGAATTGACGATGACGAGTCGAGCTTTTGCATCGTTAGCTTTCCATTTGTTGTAAGTGAGACTCTGAGCTCCGATGCGAGCCTCAATCTTTGAGTCTTTGAATTCGCCATCTTCATCGAGGTATTCTTCGAGGATGTTAGACTTTTGGGGTTGAGTTGTTGGCCTGAGACGAAGTCCCAAAGTGAGAGTGATTCGAGGTACATGCGCAAGGTTGCTCTCCAAGTCTTGTAGTTCTTGGAGCCTTCAAGTTTCGGAATCTTGGGGTCTTTCTCCATCTTGACCGTTATTTTGAGTTAGCCAATTTGATCTGGAGGAAAGGGTGGGGTTGAGGTGGTTGTTGATGTTGTTGTCGACACGCCTTGGTTGAGGTGAGATCGACGGGTTTGTTGATATGTGATAAGTTGTGAGGATACTCAAAGAGCTTTCCAATGACTTCCACAAAGTTGATTGTTGAATCAAACCAATGACTGCTTTGTTATATGGGTGCATACGCGACCCGGGCTCATAACCTGACAGTGCATTGATGTATGTGATGTTGATCAATTGATTGAGGCAAGAGAGCTGCTCTACGGAATCTCTACGTGTGGAGGTGCTCGCTAGTCGAGTTCACTCAACCACGTCGTGCGGGCTCAATACCCAGAACCTCCAGAGTTCCTCACATTCATTAACCCTCCTGTCAGATATCATATCCTTCCCCCCCTCACTCGGGACTCTCACCACCACCCCTGTTTCTAGCCACCCATCCCCCGCCTCCTCACAACACAAACGCAACAACAACACCCAATGCCACCGCCCCCCCGGCACTCCCCACCACCCTCCCCCCAATACCAGGACTCGGCGTCGGTTGCACACCCCCAGTCCCATTCGCACCTCCTCCCACTCCTCCACCGCTCCCGCGCGCTCCCCCAGCGGAAGAACCCGACACAGCAGTCAACGCAGCCGCCGAGCAGGGCGTCATCGGGGCATCAGTGCGCGTCACGACTGGGGCTGCGGGGGTGGATGATTGGCAGGTGGAGCATGTCATTGTTGACTCGGCGAGGGTCGTGAGTTGGAGGGCTATTGGGGTGGGTTAGCGGGATTGTGTCTGGGGTGTTTTTTTATGAGGGTTGGGGCATGGGAGGGGGAGATACCGGAGAGGAGGGCGGCGAGGGTGATGGGTTTCATGGTTTGGTTTGGTTGTTTGGTTGTTTGGTTGTTTGGTTGTTTAGGGCGGTTGCTGATGTGTTGAAACAGACTAGGATCACCGGCTTCACTGTTGAAATGAATACCGCAATAGCTAGAACACTGCCATATATTGAGCGAGCTAATAGTAACTGGTTACTGTCATTCCAGTATTGACTCTTTCTCTGATAGCATGGCGCGCACATTGGTAATATTAGCATCCCAGAGATATTAGTGTTCAAGTGTATTCGACTTTTTGTTGGCCTGCTCGGCATCTTGTGCATGGGTCTTTACAACTCTGAAGAGTTATCTACAATGAACTTTTCTTCAAGTACGAGGGGTGCCGTAGTGGAAACCATATTTATCACTTCTTATTGCCATGTCAGAGTAAAGTATGGATGAGAAAGTTGTATTTTTTACAATATTATAAACCGCCCGGCATGTTTGGGTTTCCGCGTATACACCCACAACGCCCCTTTTTTGGTATCTGTAGAACACACGTATGGTAAAAGTAGCGCTAGCCAATGCTTGTTTTATTTCCTCGAAACGGTGAGGAAGGATAATGACATGCCGCGATATCTGTGGCAGTCTCCCCTGTGGAATCTTTATCCGATTGTTTGCGCACCGGTGATGTGAGGCTCTGCCAGGGGACATCCCACACGAACACCAAGTTTCGATCTTGGTATTCTTGACCTGGCTTTGAATCTTCTGTCCGTGTTGGTAACACTGCAGATTCCACAATCTGAACCATTTGACGTAAGTCCGCATTGCGAATCTGCCCTCGCCGCCAGACAAGTTTCTCACCCCGCTCAATGCATATGCCCCCTCCCCCTCTGCCTCCTCGCATCCCCCCCAAACCCACCACCACCCCTTCCCATCCATCGCCCACCTCTTCCTCCCCTCCCCCCACCAAACCTCTCCCTATCCCTCTCCTCCTCCCTCTCCGCTTCCTCCCTCTTTATCCTTATCTCCTCCTCCACCTCCGCCGGATCCCTCACAACCCTCACCTTCAACTCCTCCAAGTCTCCATCCGCCTTCCACCTCGCATGCGCCCCCTCCGTACACTTCTTCCCCTCCGGACAAAACCCCGCCAAATAAAACCGACACAACTCCCTCCTCATATGCCTCCTCGCACACCTCGGCCCCAGCGGACAAAACCCCCTCTCATACCACCCACACGCCGGCAACCTGCTCTCCGGATCAACATGGAGATACAGGCACTCCTCGCCATTACTACAATACCCGTTCCTGGCGAAGAAACTGCACTCCGGCATGCGCCGCAGGTTGTACTCGTGCAGAAACTCGCAGTGCTCTCCCTTCTTGCACAGCCCGCGCAGCCAATGCTTGCACACCAGGTTATTGTAGTTCGAGCCCGTCGGCGCGGCGATGTGGCGGTCGGGACAGGACGCGCCTAGCGGGCAGTGGCCGGCGACGTAGGCTTTGCAGGGGGGGCGCGAGAGGTCGACTCCGAAGCGGTAGGTGCGGAGGAGGAAGGGGGAGAAGGCGAATGTGTAGGGCGCGGTGGGCGGGGTGGCGAGGTCGGGGGAGGGCGCTGCTGCGGCCATTGTGGATGTGGATGAGAGCTGGAGAGGTGATCGGTATGGATTGTGTTGGAGAGAAAACGCGTCGTCTTATTGCGCTCTCTTAGGCCTGGCGCGGTCGAGGATGTGATGGCGTGGCGCAAAGCTCAGGGTATGAAGGTGTGTGTGACTAATAGCTTGATAGGTGCAATCGAGGCGAATCAGCGTTCTGGGGACTTGTGGCGTCCGTGAGAGTGCGGGGTACGCAGGCGGTGTAAATCTTGTGTATCGGGGAAGCTGCGTGGAGGGTGAGATGATATCTGCTTTTTCAATCGATCGTTGGTTGGAGCTCACGAGGCTGCAGCCTGCTGGGTGTTATTGTGCTTACAAATCAGGTATGGCGTTCAATAAGTGTGAGCACGTGACTCAAGTTGATATGCGGGGCGTCGTGCATGTGCATTAGCAGTTTCTTGTAGTGAGAACTGAGTTCGGATACGCCGGTGTTGAAGTTCATGGACAGCGTCGGACGCCGTACTTTCGTATAGAGGAGTGAGACACGGATGGGGGTCAAGATTGGCTGCGCCAGAGTCGTGGGAATTGCGAGGCGCGAAGGATTCCAGCCGAGGAGTTCTCATGCGGCCAGCTTCACCCGGTCTCGAAGCCATGTCCTCAGCAGCCGCCACCTGAAGCCTTGAAGCTGCTGAGGAGAGTAATTATTGCCGGCCCAACAGCTACAGCCGTATACTTTGTTGTACCGTCCCAGCTAGTATTCGGCATGGGCCGTTGCCATAGTGCTATCTTCTGAGATATACAATATTGTGTCTGAAGCCTGTGTCTGAAGCCTGTGTCTGAAGCTTGTGTCTGAAGCCTGTGTCTGAAGCCTGTGTCCAAAGCCTGTGACTCCAGAGGCCGAAGAAGCCCTTCACTCTCTTCTCTCATCCTGCACAGAATGATGATGCTTGCATCCTCCTCGCTGCCCTGCTCCTGATCTTGATTCTCACGCGAGCATACAAAGGTCTTGTGGCACGCCGCCAGTCCTCGCCATAGACCATAGATACCCCCCGCTCGCCACAAACGTGTCCCCCCAGCGTTGCCTTATCAACATTTCCCACGAGGCTGTTCCTCCGGGCCTCATCATGCAAGACGCTGCCATTGTCAGCCTACCTGGGCCGGCTCACCCAACTTCTCTTTTTTATTTACTGGCCAGCCTCATCTCATACCGCCCTTCCAATGTTCTCAGCCCGGGGGGTCAGCATGCAAACCTCGTCCAAATAGGCAGCGCTCCTTCTCAGATCGCTCCATGGGAGGAATGCGGCTGGCTGGCCACACTCCCTTGGCTGTGCCGATTGAGTATATTGCCCCAAGGTTGTGTCCCGATCAGCTCAGATGGTCTGCACCCGGCCCTCTTACGCCCTCCCAGAGCCATATCAGCCTGGCCTTGCCCAATCATCCTCGCCCACAATTTCTTCTCCCCTGCATCTTCAAGTGGAGTAAGCGCTGACTTTTCCATTGAGCGTTCAACAGCACATAAGGCTGTCTTTTACTGAACAGTCATAGCATACCATAACGATCCATCAACAAGTTCACATGTTTAAGGCAATTGGCCGGTCACTCTCGCCCAAGTTATTCGCCTGGGAGACTGGAATTCGCGGTTTGAAGGAGAGAATACCCCGTACCAGTACTCTCCACTCTGGCTTTCCGTCCAATTAAGGGGACCTGGAAATTACCAGCAGACCAAGAAAGGCTTATATACACCTTCGATACGTACCCAAACTTTTTCTCAGGACGAAACGATATACCACCTCTCGCAGATGCCAAGGACCCCCCCTATTCCATATGGACGGAAGCCACCAGAGCCACCAGAGCCACCACGAAGGCCGTCTATGGCTGACACCGCCGAAATAATGTCTGTCAATGCCGTCTACTACCCGAATTACCGTGCCTATCGTGGAGAGACGCCAGCGACTCTGAACTACAAGTGCATCAGTCATGTCTACTACGCTTATGCGCATGTCAACGCCGACGGTTTCGTCTTTGCAAGTACTCCGGATATATACAGTCCTGGCTTGCGTGCTAATTCCTGCCCCAGTTGAGCGACGAGTTGGCGGATGGGACGATGGAGGTCGATGGCGTGAACGGCTGTCTGGGGTCGTTCAGGGTTCTGAAGGACAAGTTTCCTCACCTGAAGGTGCTCTTGTCGATTGGTGGTGTCGACTCTAGCCAAAGCTTCAGGATCCTGTCAGAAACGGCAGCGAGAAGAGACAATTTCGCCAAGTCAGCGAATCTGCTTGTTCGGGAGGCGCGGCTCGATGGAATCGACAGTATGTTCCCAAGCAACTACTATGAGCTACGTCCTAACGTGAACTTTAGTCGACTGGCAGCATCCAGACGATGCACAGCAGGGAAGCAATTTCCTCTCTCTCCTGGCAACCGTTCGGCTCTATCTTCCATCAGAGGATTTCATGGTAGTCGTGCCACTCCCTACCAACAGCTGGGCCCTACAGCACATCGACCTGCCCAAGATTGAAGAATACGTCGACCTGGTCAACCTCACGGCTTATGACTTCTCGGGCCCCTGGCGCCCCACGGCGGGCCACCACGCACAGCTTTACCGCGCGCAGGAGGGCGAGAACTCTGGCTCCGCGGCCGTCGAGTACATCCTTGCCACCGGCTTTCCAGCGAAGAAGATCCTCTTGGGCATCCCCGTGTACGGACGCTCGTTCATCGGCGCAGCGGCCCCAGGAGACCATTACCACAGCAACGGCGGCGAGGATGGCATTTTCGAGTACAAATCCCTACCGCGCCCAGGCACGCAGGAGGTCGTCGATACAGAGCGCTGCGCAGCGGTGTGTGTCGGTGGGGACGGTGGCTTTGTCACTTACGACAGCCCCGAGACGGTGGCTATGAAAGGGCGCTATTGCAAAGAGCAGGGCCTTGGTGTTGGTTCACCTTACTTCTTCCTCCTCTGGCGGTGTGGCAGTCGCATTGCACGGTTACTGATGTGTTGGCAGGGCCTCTTTTACTGGACTGGGACGGCGGATATCACGAATGGCCCACGCAGCTTGGTTGAGTCCGGCTTTCGAGCGCTGCATGGTTCGTGATGATGGGGTCTTGGGGATCGCTCTGATAGCCCCTCGTACTCTTGAGGGGACTAGTGGAGACGTGGAATTGGGTTTGGCGGTTTGGGCCGGTGATGATGGGATCGGACTCGTATCGGGAGCGTGTGTGTGGGAGCGTGTGTGTGGGAGCGTGTGTGTGGGGGCGAGGAAAGGGGTTGGTAACGAAAGACTGACTGGTGTTGAGGGGTTATAATCCGGGTTGAAGGCGTGCTTACTCGCTCGGTTACATTACTGTACCAGCCTAAAGAGTACGATTGTGTTGGTTTTCTCATAGTTGCAGAAATTAGATGGACGCAGTACCAATACAGAACAGATCAAGCTTATCTCACTCACCGTTCCTACTCTTTACCTCTCCTTCCTCATCTTGCAACAAAATCATCACATCTCAACATCCGCCCCACCACACCACCACCCACCACCACCACCACCCACCACCCCACCACCACACCACCCACCACACCACCCACCACACCACCCACCACACCACCCACCACACCACCCACCACACCACCCACCACACCACCCACCACACCACCCACCACACCACCCACCACACCACCCACCACACCACCCACCACACCACCCACCACACCACCCACCACACCACCCACCACACCACCCCACCACACTAATTGACCCGAGGAACCCAGCAACCTTCTCAGACCCGCCCAGCACCCCTGCCCCAAGCGGGTCCACTGTCCATCATCCACAACGCTGTAACGCCGGTCTCCGCCGCTACCGCGCGTCCGTCCACCACCACGCCTCGACCCCCATCTCCCGTCCTGCGCTGCGGACGAATAGAATACCAGGCCTGTAATTCACATCATCAACGGCCAGCCAGTCAATATCACCGCGCATCACACGCCCGCGCCCATCACGCCTCTTCCGTCACCGTGGCGATGGCGGTGGGAGCGCGGTGGTGTGGGAAGGGGAAGGGGAAGGGGATGGGATGGGATGGGATGGGATGGGATGGGATGGGATGGGATGGGATGGGATGGGATGGGATGGGATGGGATGGGATGGGATGGGATGGGATGGGATGGGATGGGATGGGATGGGATGGGATGGGATGGGATGGGATGGGATGGGATGGGATGGGGATGGGATGGGATGGGATGGGATGGGATGGGATGGGGGGATGGTTTGGCCGTTTGGGGGATTATGCAGTACGAGACAAGATGGTTAATATTGAGATGCTCCTTCTTAATTTAATCTGTGTTTGGAGGGGTTCGCGGGGAGGTGGTAGGGATTTGGGGGGGATGTAGGATAGGGGTGTGGTGGTGGGGTTCGCGGGGGTTCGCGGGTTTTCTGGGACGGGTGGGTGGGATGGTGGGATGGGATGCATGGTGGGGTTAAAAAAAATGACAACTGAGAGATTCGAACTCTCGCTCTTTCGAACTAGTAGTCACATGATGACCTGAAACTAGCGCCTTAACCGCTCGGCCAAGTTGCCAATAAGATTTACCAGGCTCGTTCAGCTTAACTCCTCACTAATGAGCAAAGTAGCAAAAGAGAAAAAAAAAATGACAACTGAGAGATTCGAACTCTCGCTCTTTCGAACTAGTAAGTCACATGATAACCTGAAACTAGCGCCTTAACCGCTCGGCCAAGTTGCCTGTTTAATTAGAATAGGGAGTGATAATCGGCACTAATAACACTGCTCGAGGTGCGTGGTTGTAGTGTGTCCACTATTCGTCCTCTTTGGGCTTCGATAGTATATATGTTATTTATAGAATTTAGTAGCTTTTTATTTCATTAGTTTACCATATTTAACGAGCAAACGGCAAACTGGCTGCTGTTTTCAGCAGGTTTAGTCGCTGTTTTCCGCACCCGACTTGCCAAAATCGGCGCTGCTCTAACGCTCGTGTACCTGATGGCCAAGGTGGCACGACCTGGGCTCTAGCCGACTGCTGCAAGAAGCTAGGAAAGAACGACACATCGCGACGCGACCCATCTCCCAACAACAACAAAACAACAACATAACAACAATATCAGAACCATCACCAAAATCATCACCAAAATCATCACCAAAATCATCAGGATCTCACAATGGCAGCCCAACAATCGCCTAACCTTCCAAACCTTCCAAACCTTCCACTGATTGGTTAAGCTTTGGATACATTCAAGGCTGAAGTCGTCAAGGTCGCAAACTTGCCAGCCTGGAACGAAGGCGTCACCATTATGACGCGACTAGACCAGCTCATGACGCGAATGGACCAGCGTTTCGAGCAGATGAACCAGCGTTTCGAGCAGGTGGACCAGCGTTTCGAGCAGGTCAACCAGCATCTCACAGCCATGAATGCTGGCATGCAAACCCTTACGGCGCGTCTTAATGCCACACAGCACAACACCAATGCCCAGTTCGCAAATTACACAGCCCACAGTGACACCTCCCCGCTGGTTCCACTCCAGCACTACATTACTGGCGAAGATATCCCCGGTTTCCCTGCTACGACTGGAGACATTGGTCTTCTAAATTGTAAGTCTATCCCCAACCCCAAAGCGAGCCATTTCAACTGATATTTTATACAGGCCAAATGGTCGACACCCTCATTGAAGCCCTAGGCGGATCCACTGAAGACACGCTCGAGAAGAAGAAATTGAGACTTCGTCGTTTGGTTGGGGTGGTTTCTGTCCCATTTGCTTAAACGTCCTAGGCGAACACTTAACACCGACACCAACGACCTCGGTCGTATTGTTTTGATTTTAAGGCGTGTGGGCAGAGGAAGACAAGGCGTCATGGCGGGCATGGGAAGGCAGGGCATTATTACGGGCATAGGAAGGCAAGGCATCATAGCGGAGTTATTATGGCGGGCACTTTACTTTCAAGGCGTGTAGACAGAGGAAGGCAAGGCATCACGGCTGGCGCACAGCACTTCTTCGAAACTATGACATCAAAACTATGATGGGATTGATGCAAATGATGTGATTGATATGAGCGATGTGAATAATGTAAATAGTATAAGGGCAAAAGAACTTAATACCATGCATCACCCTTATAAAGAACTCGATACCTAGTAGATAGCGAGCCCGTGCGCACACGCCTTGCCTAATGTGGCGGTCGCGGTTTCCTGATGCGGGCTTGCCGTCTAGTCTTTTACTCCATTTAACGATGTGACGGCTAGGAGGCGCTGAAAAGGTGCAAGGATCTTCAAATGAACAGGGCAGTACGAGGTCACGTTCTCAATCACATACGCGTAGTAGATCCTGTAGATTACGAAGACTGAACGCTGACCTTCCTCCGAAGGTCCGCGTTCCTACTATATACTACAGCCTGACGTGTTCTTCGGCCTGACGATCTTCTGTCTTGGCACAGTAGCTCACGTGCTATACCTCCGCACCTGATACGCTTGTGACAAAAGGGCAGCTTTTGTTGTAATATGTCACATGATCTCAGCACCACTTCCCCGCAATTTCAGGCAGCAATAGATAGACAGGAATACACACGCATATTACTCAACAGCTTTCGTCGCTGTTTTACGCAGCTCGCTTGCCCACTTTTCAATACTCCCACACCCCAAACTTAATCGCCGCACACCTATTTGTGCCTCAAACACAACCACTGGAACAGCTCGTCCACCACATCCCACCTGGCCCTATATACTTATTCTTAAGGTTAATTAATATAATTTGTTGTTATAGGATTTAATTGTTCATGTTTGTAAGGATGCCTCCTTACCTAGATACTCGAAGAACCTGTCTCAGAACTGTTATGGTCACTACAAGCATGGAATCCGACTCGGTGTGGTTTCGAACCAGTAGAGGAGCACATAGCGAGTTACACTATAGTGAGGGATGGTAAGGGTGTAGGGTTCAGGGTCGATGCTGACCTGTTGCGGTGGAAGGATCAGGGCTAGGGTTGGGGTAACCGAGTCGGGCCCGTTTCGGGTACTCAAGGAAACAGACTCAACGGGGTTCCCCCTTCATCTTTTTTGTATCCTTCGTAGTAGACCTATAGGATAGCATCCGTTTAGCCTCCGGCTCGCACTCTCATATGCTATTACTGTGAGCTGGGTGCCCTGTGTCCTTACAATGTTCTTAATTTATTATAGTTCTGTCTAAATTCATGATCGGCTAATACTTATTGTCTAGTACTGTACTAGCTGAGTCATGCTACAGCCTAGCCCCGCTAGCCCTATAACCATGATGCTATGTTACTATAGCCGTAACACTATCTATAACTGCTAAAATGGGGAATCACTCACTTGTAGGGTTGATGGGCACCTACTAGCTGTGTAGAATCAGGTCACTTTGCTAAAGATGTGAACTGATATGGATCTTGATTAGGGGAGTTAGATCAAAAATTAGAAACAATGACGCTAGATACCCCTGCCTCCTCCCTATCTAATTAATCCTTCTGTCTACCTAATCAAGGGATTGTCATACTGACATTCGTTGCACTCAGTTTGCTATCAAACTCAAGAGCAAACTTAGAAATCTCCTCCTCAAACCTACAAGTCACCATACATATCTTGGCTTATCACACCAACAACAGAAGCAATACTACTCAACGATTGCTGCAAACTCTTCTACTACATCTGTTTATGCTACATACATCACGGCATATCATTTGGACACTTATTGAACAACTTATTAAGAAAATCTCCTCCTTAATTGGGTGGGCCAATACTACCACATGGCATATCTCTACCAACTAGAGGCTAGGAACATGAACGATAGCTCTAGAAGCTTCTACAACCCTCTATGATTCATTACACGTCATCGCTCCTTAGTTACCCACAAGATTGGTTAAGTTATGACATAATTTATCTATAGGTACTCTGACCTTGGACCTCCTTTTCACTTCCTATAGGCTAGGAACCCAAGAGATGGTTCTATGGGATTCTCTTACGTTACTACATGATTAGCAAGCTAGTTGTGGGTCGCACTTGATTTCTAATACATTTACCAAGCCTGGTTAGTCATGGAAAGTCATGGAAAATGAGAGAACTACACTCCTTTGGCATAAATAGGATTGCCCTTTCCTTAAGAAAGGGCAAGCAGACAATACAGTAAATCGACTATCACATACTTCCACGTCTTTTACAAGCTTCCAAGCATTCATCTTGTTACTCCTTGTTTCTGAAAAGTCAGTGAGGTGTTAACCTCTGACTTACCCCTGAGTTCCCAGACTCAACATTTGTTGCAACTTGTCTAAACCACTTCACTACATCACACACCTGATTGCTGCGTTGTGGAATAGTCTAAGCTACAACCCTTTGGCTCTGTTTCCTAAGACAGTGTGTTGTCTTAGTAAAATCATCCCTTCCTTGGGTGGCTAGATTCTCACATCTGGTGCACCCACCATTACAGGGATGCCATAACACTCCTAGGTAATTCCATCTAGTTGTAGGACTATGAGACAGTTCTGTGAAATTTCTCTATGTGGCTTTGAAAATGCATCTAATGCTCAAGCCGGACGTTAGAGACTCGACACTCTATAGACTCGTTAACTCCAAGTCTTCTAACATGCTTTCTTATAAAGTGCCTTGTTAGGCAGTAAGGACTTGAGAACAAGGCAACCCTCTCCTAAATCGTTAGGTTTAGGTTCCTAAGATATGTAATGCATATAGTAGGCCTCTTGTCCATTATGACTGACGATATTGCACGTCTAAGCATGATGCCTGTGTAAGGATGCCTCCGCCCTCAGTGACAGAAAGGATCAGAGTCGGGCAGGTTATGGTCACATGTGTTACGATGGTCATGGAGGTCAAGAAGCCAGTCTGGAGAATAATAAGCTAGATTGAATCTAAAGAGAGAAGAAGAAGAAGAAGGAAGGAAGGTGAGGCTATTCCTCATAATATACAGTTGTCCGCTTAGCAGTTGTAGCCTTGGTGGCTAAGGTTGCCCCCGTAACAACCGTAACAACCATAACAACCATAACAACCATAACAACCATAACAACCATAACAACCATAACAACCATAACAACCGTAACAACCATAACAACCATAACAACTGTAACAACTGTAACAACTGTAACAGCCGTAACAACCGTAACAACTGTAACAAGCTGTAACAACCGTAACAAGCTGTAAGCTATAATCGTAACACTACCCCCCCCCTTTACTAAGATTGATCTCCTGATCAAGAGTAAGATCATTGTGGCTTCTGTGGGTATTTTCGGTGGAAAGTTTGTGTGAGTTCAGGTGCATTGTTGAAGTTTGTAGCAGCATACCAAGTGTTGTCTGGTGGGTGGTTCTTCCATGCTGCCATATAGAACAGCTTCTTCCGTAGGAATTTAGAATCTAGAATTTCTTCAACTTCCCATTAAAGTTCATCTTCTATAACGATTGGCAGGGGTGGTTCATGGTGCTGGCCTTGTAAAGCATCATCTGAGTCAAGTCGTAAGAGGTTGCTGTGAAAGACAGGATGTATCTTCATGCATGGTGGTAGCTCTAACTTGCCCAATTCGTTCGAGAATCTTATATGGACCAACTTGCTTGTGATCGAGTTTCTTTGATGGCCTCTGAGTCCTGATATTTCATGTAGATAGCCATACTTGATCTCCAACCTGATATCTTGGTGCAGCTTTCCTGCGTTGATTTGCAAATGTCTCCATGCGAGTTTGCGAGAGTGCGATTTGGTCTTGCAGAAACTCCCAAATATCTTTCATGCTTTGTATCATATCCTTGTGTTCCTGTGGCGCTATTTGGAACTCACTGTTCTTAATATCAAAACTCATTCTTGGCTCGAAGCCCTTATTTGCAAAGAATGGGCTGAATTTTGTAGAGTCTGAAGGTAGAGCATTTGCTGCAAATTCTGCCATGCAAAGATATTCGACCCAGTTGTCTTGGAGATAGTTAACATGAGCTCATAAATATCGTTCCAAAGTTCTGCATTGAACCTCTCAGTTTGCCCATCCGTTTCTGGGTGGAAGGCAGTAGACAATTTTGTTATAACTTTCCAAACTTTGCAGAGGATTTTCCACACTGCAGCCACGAACTGGGGGCCTCTGTCTGAGATGATCGAATTTGGTAAACCATGGTGTTTCCATACATGTTGAAGGAGTAGCTGTGCTGTTGCTTCTGCAGTTGTGCCTTCTTGGCCTGCAAAGCATGGGATAAAATGGCGTTCTTTTGTAAGTCGGCATGCTACGACAAGGATAGCATTGTTTCCTTCACACAATGGCAATCCTGTAATAAAGTCGAGTGATATGTCCTGTGTCATGACACTCCTTCGATATTTGTGTCACGACCCTTCGATTCGCTTTAGTCTCTAGTACTTAACCAATCTTGTAGGTAACTAAGGAGCGATGACGTGTAATGAATCATAGACGGTTGTAGAAGCTTTTGGAGCTATCGTTGATGTTCCTAGGCCTCTAGTTGATAGAGATATGTCATGTGTAGTTTTAGCCCAGTAACTAAGGAGTGATGTCATGTATTGAATCATAGAGGGTTGTAGAGATATGCTATGTGGTCATATCAGCCCAGTAATGGTGGGTGCACCAGATGTGAGAATCTAGCCACCCAAGGAAGGGATGAATTTACTAAGACAACACACTGTCTTAGAAAACAGAGCCAAAGGGTCGTAGCTTAGACTATTCCCCAACGCAGCAATCAGGTGTGTGATGTAGTGAAGTGGTTCAGACAAGTTGCAACAAATGTTGAGTCTGGGAACTCAGGGGTAAGTCAGAGGTTAACACCTCACTGACTTTTCAGAAACAAGGAGTAACAAGATGAATGCTTGGAAGCTTGGAAAAGACGTGGAAGTATGTGATAGTCGATTTACTGTATTGTCTGCTTGCCCTTTCTTAAGGAAAGGGCAATCCTATTTATGCTAAAGGAGTGTAGTTCTCTCATTTTCCAAGACTTTCCATGACTTACCAGGCTTGGTAACTGTAGTCGACGTAAGAGAATCCCATAGAACCATCTCTTAGGTTCGTAGCCTATAGGAAGTAAAAGGAGGTCCAAGGTCAGAGTACCCCTATAGACAAATTATGTCATAGACAAATTATGTCATAGACAAATTATGTCATAGACAAATTATGTCATAGACAAATTATGTCATAACTTAACCAATCTTGTGGGTAACTAAAGAGGATGACAAGTAATGAATCATAGAGGTTCGTAGGAGCTTTTAGAGCTATCGTTCATGCTCCTAGGCCTCTAGTTGGTAGAGATATGTCATGTGGTAGTATGAGTGATGTCATGTAATGAATCATAGAGGGTTGTAGAGATATGCTATGTGGTAATATCGGCCCAGTAACTAAGGAGCGATGACGTGTAATGAATCATAGATGGTTGTAGCAATCGTTGAGTAGTATTGCTCTTGTTGTTGGTGTGATAAGCCAAAATATGTATAGTGACTTGTAGGTTTGAGGAGGAGATTTCCAAGTTTGCTCTTGAGTTTGATAGCAAACTGAGTGCAACGAATGTCAGTATGACAATCTTGTGCTAGGAGACAAGATCTAATCCTACTATCGACCACACTAGGTACAAGGCGTGCCTACAGCAACCACTATGTGAAGATGGGTATGGGTATTCAGAGTATATAGATTAGCATGGCAGCGTTAATGAGCATAGGACAGGGAAGTGTTAGAGCTGTAAAGAGGACATTAACGACTATGATGTCTAATCGAGCTTTAAAAGTCACATGTCAGTATGCTTATGTTATGATACTAGCACTCTTTATTTTGCAGGTGCAGGGGTGGTTAAGGGAGTGGATGGGTAGTAGGGGGTTTCCGTCTAACTTAGGGAAGGGGATCTATAGAGGTGGCTGAATGAGCTAAGTGCTAAATAGGACAGATATCCTAAACTCGAGCAGTAGAGGCATTTGAGGTGTATGCACTTGGGTTTATAAGAATGGAATAAAAGCTAGAAGAATATAAATTCCAAATAACGTGGTTGTACACCGAGTCGTGAATGTCACCGAGTCGTGAATGTCACCGAGTCGTGAAACTTTTTTATACCCACCACTGTAAGGTATAATTAAACAACCACAACATGTATTAAAACTAAAACTATTCAGAATCTGATGAGCTAAGTACTTCTATGACCTCCTGACAAGTTCGTGCATTATGGCCAGCCCCCCCGCAAGTGCCATAATGTCGTACACCTGGTTGCCCCTCATTCCTACCAACCCCTCCAGAGCGCTTCTCGCGATTTATTTGCTCCGTAACTGCCCTTTGGGACAAATCATCATGTGCATCCCCTACAGAAAGTGCACACCCTTGACGGACATGAGACTTTTTAGCCCTCCGGCGTTTGCTAAGAGCTTCGTTTGCTGCTCGAAGGGTGCGGACTTCAGCTGACAATAAAGTCATTTCATGTGCCAAAATCTCTGTCCCTTTAGCTAATGCAGTAACAGTAGCAAAAATGGGGGTTGGCGAGCTTCCTTGGTGCCGTGCAATGCAATTTTTAACTAGAGTAGTCTGTGAGAGAGCATCTATTGGGTTGCGAGGCGTTTGAGAAACCCAAGGATCAGCGTCTATAGAGGGGGGTCCTGTAGGTGTAGGAGTCCGCAACTTGACGTCTAGCTTTGAAATGATTACTTGCGGATCAAAGGGCACTAAACCAGCTCTGCAAAATCCAGCTTTGGCGTTTTGAGTTGTTATTGACTGGTTATAAGCTGCGTGGAAAGCTATAAAAAACTCAACCTTTGTAATATGGTTTATATGAGCCTTAATAAAGGTCTCAATTTGACGCCCATACATGCGTTTAAGAACACTAAAGCACCCAACATCAAGTGGCTGAGTTAGGTGAGACGAGTGAGGAGGTAGACAGAGAGTTATGATGTTGTTTGCTTTGCAATATTCCTGAAACAGCTGATTCGTGACTTTCATGCCCGTCTAAAACCAACATCCGATATGGTCCTTTTGCACGACTGCAAGTATGTTTATCGAAATGATGAAGCCATTCTAGACCTGTCTCGTTGTTGGTCCATCCATTGCTTGTTGGTTTAATTACCCAATTGTGAGGAAGGCCGCCTTCAGTATACCAACTTGAAAGGTGACATTTCCCTTGAACTACTAAAAACGGAGGGATACTCCCGCCTTCAGCATTCACACAAACAATTGCTGTAGCCCATTCCCGATTGCCAGGCTGAACTGCCTTGCCTCTGCCACATCGATCGGCGTGCGTAACAACTAAAGCTGAGCTAATAACGCCCATCATGAAGCCCGTCTCGTCAAAGTTGTAGAAATCGCAATCTTGGATGCCGTACTTTGCTCTCATGTTCTGCACAAGTTGAAACCACGCTCCAATAAGCTCAGGATCTTCGCACAAGGCTCTTTGAAAGTCATAAACGCGATTACAACACGTCTTTAACTCGGGGCGGCGTTGTATAAATCGATATGCCCACCGCGTCCCAACGTGCTTTCCCCCACGCGATTCAAGGATATAATTTGCCATATCCTCCACACTAGCAGGCCGAGGTGCAAATCCTCTTGCATCCATATCCAATATATTTCGAATAATCACTTCCTCTTCTAGCTCAGTCAATTTATGACTATTGGCTTTGGTTTCGCGTCGAGAAGGTCGGCCGGCCATTCTATCAGTAAGCGTAGAATAAGGCACTTTATATAGTATTGATGCAGACCTGCGATTAAGCGATTTACATGTTTGAAGAGCCTCAATAGCTAGAATGATTCGCGCTTCTTGGGTTTGGATTTCCATTGGTAGTTGTGGAGGAAACGCGTGTTGAAGTTCGTAGGTAGCTAAGTAGGGAAAAGTTCACGACTCGGTGACATTCACGACTCGGTGTACAACCACGTTAAGATTATTTCCTTAATAATTTCTAATATGGCCAGAATATAGATGGGTTATCTAACCATGGCCTAGCTATAGAACACGGTATAGAGAAAGGGAAGGTCTAGAGCGCACTCTAGACCTCGGGAGCAAAACCTTAGCAGTTTAAGGGCTTCTGCGCAAGGCGCAAAGTTTTAAAAGGAGGGACAGTTGGGACAGTTTGAACATTGCTCTCGACTTAGACATAAGTCTATGCAAGTTTTGGCTTCTTACATGGAACTGGTAAAGCGAATTCTCGAGAAGACATACAAAAGACAGTAACTAACTGGAAAATAGTGAGCTTTCATCTATCTGGGCTACAACGATTCTATCTGGGATGCAACGATACACTTTCAGGTTCCACTACGCAATCGGGTGGCTGGACGTAAAACAAAGGCGCAAGCCTCGGGGACGTCTAACGCAGAAGAAAGGACATTAGCACGATGGATTACGAGAGTTACCAGTACTGGCTTCCTAGCAACACCTGTATTGGTGATAGAGACAGGTGATGAAATTCGTCCAAATACCCCGCTCCGATTGGCCCAAATCGATATACTACAATTAAAGGAACGGACTCTCGACGATTAGAGTCGTTGCAGCGGCATCAAGAGGCTACATATGAGAAGATATCGCAGCGGTTTGGCGTTTTCGTACGCGGTGTGACAAGAACCAGAACTCGAGAACGTGTATAACATGAATAGGGATTTAGTGGGAACGATGCAATCGACGCGGAATAATAGCGAATTAAACTCGGAAATTTAGTGGAACACTCGGGAGTAGCTTATGTATGTATGTGGCTCTCACGCCCGCCGGTCTTAGGCCCATTACTCTCCAACGCCCCACACGCCTCGAGAGACCGCCGCTCGCGAGATCAAGATAATTGTGGGATAAATGGAATCGCACGAGCCAGGAGCGAGGGAGGCGAGCGGCTCCCACGCCCGCGGTCTCCAGAGTCGGGAGACTCGGAAGATTTGCCGATCTGGCGACCATCTCAGGTCTCCAGAAATGGTGGGCTCTGCGGAGTTGCCGGAGCGCAATGAAGGATATATGTTCCGGCCCAGTCGCGAATAATTCATATTCGCGAATAGGCTGGCCCATTCGCGAATGGGCCAGCCCAACCACGAATATGAACCTCCGCGAGCGGGCCGGCCTATTCGCGAATGGGCCGGCCCAACCACGAATAATAGTAATAGTAAAGTAGTAATTAAGAATCTATATACTATTACCAACAGTGTCTGCTCTTTTTAGAGTACAGTTCTTACACCGCTTTATAATGAACTCTACTTCTTCTCTCTTTAGTCCATAGAACTTTTGTTGTATGATATTCCATGTTTTTGTACGGCCTGCGTGTAGGAGTTGTAGGTGTTCGTTGATAATAGTACCAAATGCATCGCTCTCAAGAATTACACATCGTGGGTTTTGAAACCTAGTAGGAGCTTATTATGTAGAAGCATAAACTCTGTTTGCGCACGATGCTTAAGTCGTGATTCAATAGGATTTGCAGGTTTCATCGATGGGTTCTGAAGATAGAGGAGTAATTGACGGTATTTTAAGTAGTCTATCCGCTCTCTATTACTATAGCTAAAGCTATGAATATAGGTTTGAAAAGCAGTGCGCACATCCTGAGGAAATGGATTAATCTGTGCAATAGTAGGGTCTTCCATATTGATGAAGTTGATATAATAGATCTATCTACAATATCTATACTATATTACCCCGCATAGGTTGGGCATCATTCGCGGTTGGGCCGGCCCATTCGCGAATAGGCCGGCCCGCTCGCGGAGGTTCATATTCGTGGTTGGGCTGGCCCATTCGCGACTGGGCCGGAACATATATTATTATATCCTGAGGGACCATTGGGAGCTCCTAGCCTGACTGCCTGGTTGATTTGATTCGATTGCACTATGTAAGCCGTTCTGCCCAAACTGCTTCTCTATTTTCGTTCATAGTTATCTATAGATCTAATGACTCTGAACTTGTCAGACCTTTCATTGCCCTTACTTCTATATACCAGAATTCACTTTTCTACCACTACGTATATTTTAGTACTGTGGATGGGCTGCCCGGAATTGCTTTAGGATCACCTTGGCTGCTGCAGAAAATGGGTTTGTGTCGACGCATGATTTCCTACCTACCCACATCCGGTGTCGCTCGTTCTCTACATTCCAAGAGGACGTGTCGCACCGTCTGCAACCGCATTGGCATCATCTGTATTGGCCTTGTTGATGGCCTAGAGGTAGGCGCGTATGCCGATCTTGCCTGTGTGATGACCGATGCCAATATGTGTGGTGAGCCGGTAGAGGTAGTGATTTGCCTATGTATTCCGTTCCCTTACAAATGACTCTGAGTGATAGAATAGTACTATTGCAGCAGCGCTAACATAATAGTTAATGCCGCTTCCACCAGAGTACATGCATCATGTTGTCTGAGTGCTGCTTTTGGATATTTATCACTGCGGGTGCTTTTCCTCGCCGCCGGTCGCTGTCCTAATACTGCACACATCTCTGTTCTTCCGATCAAGTTAGCTAGCACAGCCCATGGTGGATTTGTTGTTTCAAATACCCTGGAAACCTCGATCCCTAGGGATACGCCGCTGGCGATTGTGTTGCCGATTCCCCGCAGTTCGTCTATACTGCTGCAGCGGAAGGAAAGCTGGCTGCACTCAACGCCCTGAGAACAATCAATAATCGAGAGCCGGAGAAAATCGACTATTCAGTCGTGCCGTGGGTCGTATTTACTACTCCAGCTGTTGCTGGCGTCGGTGTTAGTCTCATTGACGCTCGTGCTAAGGGCATTGACGCGGAAGCATCGTCTTCCCCGCTAAACCTTCTTCCTGGCGCTCTCGTACAGCAAAGCACGCAGGGCTTTGTAACGCTAGTGCGAGATAAGAGTGATGACCGGATCGTGGGTGCGTTTGTTCTGGCAGAAGAATGAGGAGAACTTGTAATGGAAGCAGCTCTCTCCGTGCGTTACCATGTCATGGCCAAAGACCTGGCGGGGATGTTTCATCCATATCTTACGTGGAATGAGGCTTGGAAGCTTGCTGCATTGGGCTTTGATAAGGATGTGAAAACCTTAAGTTACTGCGCGACGTGAATCTTGACTTGTTTCTTCCAAATCGAATACCTTATAGATAGAGATAGCTGAAGTAAATTTTACAATCGGGAATACAATTTCAAAGTAACAGATCAGGTCACATCTTACATTGGATTGTGTTACACTTGTAAAAAAAAACTTCCTACTGAAGCAACATGCCAAAAACTGTGGCACCTAACTGCACAGCTCTTTGCTGATCAAGAATCGTCCCTGTTATCTCCGGATGAGCTTGTACCCAGGCATCTGCGATTGTTCGGCTGACGAAGAAGTTTACATATTTGCAGCAAACATCCGCAGCAGCGCCTGTGTTAGACGCCGTTCCAACGAAAACAACGGTTTCGGGGGGGTCCCAGCTAACCCGTTGCTGGTGAAAGATAACACAGATTTCGTCGCCAGACTCTGTCCTTGAGTGCATTGTTGCGTCGCTGTGAACCATAGGCGGGATTCCGAGAGCATCTATCGCGCACATGGCAAATACTGCTACCCCGCTTTGCAGTTCGACACGATGATGCGTTGGTCTGACCGAGAACGGATAGGCAGCGATGATGTTCCTGTGCTTGTCCATTCGTATATAATCGTGGTCGTGCAATGCACTCAATATCTCATATCCTGTTTTACCGGAGTCCGCCGCAATGTCATCGATGATATTGCTTGCAGGGAGGCGTCCGGACTCACTCAGCGAGCTTAGGATTGCGACTTGCATTGCACGCAAGCCTTGCTCATCGGGCGCGCAACGACTTTGCAAGAGAGAATTGAGGGCAGGTGGTAATCCATTGTCGTTGCAGCCATAGTGCTCGCAATGTTCCTATTGGATTGGTCAGATTTCCCTCAATTGTTGACCTAATTAGGATTGGACTGCCAACAGTCATGATCGAATGCGCTTGTCCTGAGCTGGGTAACAAGAAAGACCGTGAGTCGAGATCAAGAAAATGCCCGCGAGAGTACAGTAGACCTGACAGAAGACGATGGTGAGAATGGTTTGGAATTCCGCGCGGCAGCAGGCCATAGATGAGGACGAAATTCCGCCCCACCTTTCCACAGGCCAGCCGTAACCTGAAAGATCAGGCTTGATTAGGGGACTTGTGTTGCCGGAGCCTAGCAAGGCACATCAGAGCAAGGGCAGAGCATAGAAATGTCGATAGGGGGGCGGGAGGTTGTGAAAGCTTCTTGCCAAACTGCTGTTAACAAAACAGGAGGCAAGAAGGGCTCGAGTGTGAGCCTCTAGCGGAATATAAAGCTCATAGTATGCCTATAAGGCACACCATTTGCTTGATATTAGTGGCAGGAACAAGTTCCTGCTGCTAAATCACTAGGTGGATAAGGTAAGAGGCACCAACTACTCGTGCCTACGTTAGCGATGACACTTGAACCTATGTAAGGGTTAATAATACTGTATTTGTAAAAGGGGAGAGCTTACTATAATGCTGCTTCCTATCTAATAGGATGCATAGAGGTTTCTTATAAGGTTGACTTAACAGAGGAGGCAGGGGATTAAACACAAAGGCTTTCTAAGTAACACATTATAGTATTGTAAAGAATACTATATTAAGTTGAGCATGAAGCTCCTATCTAAGGGAATACTATCTACTTATATAGTAGCACCATGCCTTATAGATAGTTTGGATAGTTAATAGATAGCTCAACTATCTAATATCCACTAGTTTCTACAACTATCCACTAGATAGTCACACTACAGCCTAGCCCCACTAGCCTTATGACTTCTTAGGTCACGTTACTATAGCTGTAACAAGTAGTGGACTAGGACGTCTAAGGTGCATTAGAGCGATTAGATCATATAACGCCTAAACAATTGTTTCTAACTGACGCCATCTTAACATTGCCTAAGGTGTTACTAGTTGTTAATGCAGGATTACTACCATTAATGACGTGATGGCGTACTACATTGTTAAGGAGGGGACAACCTTCCATCGTAGTCGTGCTAGTCAGCCTGTCCTACTAGTCTCTATGGTTAAAAAACAAAAAGCCACTATAGTCTAAGGCAGACTGTAAGGACACAGGGCACCCAGCTCACAGTAATAGCATATGAGAGTGCGAGTCAGAGGCTAAACAGATGCTATCCTATAGGTCTACTACGAAGGATACAAAAAAGATGATGAGGAACCCCGTTGGGTCAATCCCCTTAAGTACCCAAAACGGGTCCGACTCGGCTAACCTGCCCTAACTCTCCCCACGTTGTTACGATTATAGCTTACAGCTTGTTATGGTTGTTACGGTTGTTACGGTTGTTACGGTTGTTACGGTTGTTACGGTTGTTACGGTTGTTACGGTTGTTACGGTTGTTATGGTTGTGTTGTGGAATAGTCTAAGCTATGACCCTTTGGCTCTGTTTCCTAAGACTGCATACAGAACGATCTTCTTGTCTATAGCACAAGTAAGGAGGAACATGTTAAGCATGTCAAAATGGTTCTACAAAAGCTTTAAGAAGCAGGACTACAAGCAGATATAGCAAAATGCGAATTCTTTGTTCAAGAGACAAAATTCTTAGGACTCATCATTGGAGTTAATGGAATTCGCATGGATCCTGGAAAGGTGAACACTATACTCGATTGGAAAGCACCAAAATCATTACGGGACATGCAAGCTTTTATCGGATTCTGTGTGTTCTATCGAAGGATTATCAAGAACTATTCAAACATCATGAAACCACTCGTCAACTTAACGAAAAAAGACCATGTCTTCGAATGGACAGAAGCATGTCAGGAAGCATTCACACTTCTGAAAAAGACTGTCACAGAAGCCCCAGTCTTACGACATTTCGATAGAGAGAAGACAGCCTATGTTGAAGCTGATGCCTCAGATTTTATTTCCTCAGGGGTACTGTCACAGAAAGATGACAAGGGAATCCTACAACCAGCTGCATTCTTCTCGAAAAAGATGGAACCTGCAGAATGCAATTACGAAATCTATGACAAGGAGTTACTCGCCATCATCAGATGCTTCGAAGCATGGAGACCAGAAGTCGAGGGCACAGCAATGCCAGTCCAAGTTTTGTCAGATCACAAGAGTCTTGAATACTTCATGACAACAAAGAAGCTTACTCGAAGGCAAGCTCGATGGGCTGAGTTTCTGTCAAGGTTTAACTTTCAAATTATATATCGACCTGGGAAACAGAACGGAAAAGCAGATGCATTAACTCGAAGACCAGGAGATAGACCAGAAGGGAACGAAGAAGATGACCGCCAAAAACAACAACTTCAAACCCTGCTACCACTCAAGAGACTCCATCCAGACCTCCAAGAGATAAGGAAATTCGAAGATGCTAAGGTGAATCAAGACATCCAACTTGCACCAGTCCACCTACAGGAAGCAAGTATTCTAGACAAAATCCAAACTGCGCAACTTCAAGACAGCTTATGCAAAGACACTATTCAGAAGCTTCAGAATGGAGAACGAAATAGTCCAGACATAGCTCTAGCATATTGCGAGGTGAAGGAAGGGCTCTTATATTATCATAATAGAGTCTGGGTTCCAGAAAGTGCTCATGTCGAACTCTTACAAGAAATTCATGACCAACCAGCAATGGGACACCCTGGCATTGGGAAGATGATTCGGGTCATCAAAAGACAGTATTACTTGCCCCGGATGATAAGACAATTATACAATACATCAAGAACTGCCATATCTGCAAAAGATCAAAACCTACAAGAGATGCTTATAATGGACTTCTTCAACCAATCCCTGTTGGCAGCCAGCTGTGGCAGGATGTAAGGACAGTTCGAACTGAGGCTGACCTTCAAGTCTGCAGAAGTATCCGAAGTATAATGTGAAGACTTCGATACTCGAAGCAGTAGGACAAGGTATAGTAGTTCAGGCTCCAAAGCATATACTTTATACCACAGGGGTTAAGTGGTGAGACTAACAGGTTGGCCAAGTGGTTCGACTCGAAGTAAGGGAATGCAAAGTAAGTCGAAGCAGGAGGAATTGCAAGAAGGCCAAGTAGTATATAATTTGCTAGCTAAAGATCAATAAGAGACATGAGCAATAAGTGCTTATATAACAGTAAAAATCTCTAGTGCCAAATAAGCGAAGGCACTAATTAACCGAACCCTAGCTAAGCGAGCCCTAGTGCAGCAAGCCAATAACAAGAGAGCCTAAGCCAGTAGTCAACATTTGGGCTGATCTAGGTCAGCAAGTGAAGCGAAGTGAGCGAAGTGAGTGAAGCAGGTGAAGTGAATGACATAGTGAAATAGTTACTATAGGGGTACTCTGACCTTGGACCTCCTTTTACTTCCTATAGGCTACGAACCTAAGAGATGGTTCTATGGGATTCTCTTACGTCGACTACAGTTGCCAAGCCTGGTTAGTCATGGAAACTCTTGGAAAATGAGAGAACTACACTCCTTTAGCATAAATAGGATTGCCCTTTCCTTAAGAAAGGGCAAGCAGACAATACAGTAAATCGACTATCACATACTTCCACGTCTTTTCCAAGCTTCCAAGCATTGATCTTGTTACTCCTTGTTTCTAAAAAGTCAGTGAGGTGCTAACCTCTGACTTATCCCTGAGTTCTCAGACTCAACATTTGTTACAACTTGTCTAAACCACTCCACTATATCATACACTTGATTGCTGCGTTGTGGAATAGTCTAAGCTACAACCCTGTGGCTCTGTTTCCTAAGACAGTGTGTTGTCTTAGTAAAATCTTCCCCTTCCTTGGGTGGCTAGATTCTCACATCTGGTGCACCCATCATTACAGAATAGTAGAGTTATTACTCTCATTCATTGTATCAAATATCCTCTCCTTACGACTTATTGAAAGCCATTCGTTTCATCAATTAGTACAATTCTTAAGCCCAACTACTTTGTCAATCTCGTCACGAACACTACACTGAGAGCTACAGCGGCAATTCTCATATCACCGAGGCTTATTACAAATAGAACTCCAAGCTCATATTACCTATGGTGGCCGGATATTTATAACGACGGATGTATGGACTGCACAAAACTATACAGAGTACGCTGCTGTTACAGGTCATTGGATTAATGAGAAGTGGCAGCACCGGTGTGTATTACTTGATGTAATCCACCTTCAAGAACCAATTCATAGCGGCGAATATCTCGCTCAAGAATTAGCAGCAGTAACAGATAGCTTCGAAATCACAGGTGCTATCTTTACTTGTACACAAGATAATGCCTCAGCGAATACTGTAATGCTTTCAGAATTTGAGAAATTGGCCAGTGAACGCCAGACGTCTATTCAACAGCCTTGGACGTTTACTGTTAAAGAAGGGGACGTCCAGTGTATTGCACATATCATTAATCTTGCAGTCCAAGCTGCTCTTAAGAGCTTGAAAGCCAGCCCGGATACAGAAACAGAAGCATACTGGTGTGAGCAAGGTCTTGCCCAGATTCCGCAGCATATGGATAGCTCTTCAACTGAAGTATCAGCAACCCTTGAAAAGCTGTGAAGACACATTTATGTGTTTCGGAACCGACGAGCTTGGAAGGATGCTTTACAGAAACAGATAAAGGCAGCAGGCCAAAAGCCACGCCAATTATCACTTGATATGCCTATATGCTGGAATTCGACGTATTATATGCTTGAAACCGCTTTAAAGCTTCGAATACCGATTACTGCAGTGTGTACTACACAAAAGCTTGATCCTAGTATAAAAGATATTGCGTTAACTATAAGTGATTGGACTATTATTGAAGCTCTTGAACGATTATTCCTATTCTTAAAGCCATCGAGATGGTTACAAAGCTATTCATATCCAACCCTTAACTTTACTATCCCTCTTTACTTAAAGATGATAAATAAAGTTATATCGATACAAGAAGATCTTGGTAAAAGCTCTGCAATTGGACTAGCATGCGGAGCTGCGCTTCAAAAGCTTAATGAGTATTATACTCTTACGACGAATCAGCAGTGTAAGCACTCAGCTGTTGCTACAATTTGCGACCCACGAATGAATCATACAGTATTCAAAAGGTTATATCCAAATACTATAGACGATACACGAAGATCACGAGCAAGGGCACAATTAGAAGACGTCTGTAGGACATACCAAAAGCGAGAGTATCACCTAAACAGCCCTTGTGGAAGCAATAGGTACTACAACTACAATAGATCAAGAGCCTGATTCTGATGAAGACCTATTTGCGTCAGAGGGCTTAGCATTTCAGGAGCCAGAATGGAGGCGGTGGATGCTTGAACCACGGCCTGGTGAGCACACTGATATTCTCATTTATTGGTGCGCAAAGCAATACCAATATCCAGTTATTGCCCGTATTGCTCGTGATCACTTAGCAATTCCAGCAACATCCGCAGCATCAGAACAGGTATTTAGTAATGGTAGTGATATTATTACAAAAAAGCGGAATAGGTTATCACCGCCAACAATTAGATATTTACTTTGCTTACGGAATTGGGGTCAGATTCAAGGGGCTGATAGTGATGGCGATGATGCTGACGATGAGGCACACGAATAAGGGGTTAGGGTAGGTTACTAGTATTATCAAAAGCTTCATTTTTATATACTCTATTCAGCCTCATGTATCCGGATATATACCTACTCTACCCGTAGGATTTTGGCCGGATACATACCCTACCCGTGGGGGTCACGGATATAATCCAAGCCTTCTTAGACTGTCAAAACACTCCTATGGCAATATACGACCTACGTACAGCTCTTTTCTTCTTTTGGCGTTCGTTTGCGGCCTGGAGCTTCTTGTTTTCGTCTGTAAGGAGGGACTGCGGAGTGTGCATAGCCATTCGACAGCCCTTAACTAATTGTCAAACGGCACGATCTGTAGGACTAGTAGAACCAGCCGTACGACGTTGTACAAACTCTCCAATTGCCCTAGCTTGTAATTCAAGCTCTTGTATATTATGTGGCGTCTCTAGGACCTAAGGCACTAGTTTAGTCGACGGAGGAGGGGGAGGGGTAGGAGTCTGTAATTGAGTATTAAGCTTCGAAAGAACGCATTATAGGTCATACGGGATTAATCCTATAGCTGTAAACCCACTACGGGCCATGTTTGGTGTTAAAGACCCTGTATGAGCTATAGAATAGGCCTAAAGGAAATCAGACTTATCAATATGGTAAACCCCGACTTGTATAAGATCTTCAATTTGTCGTCTATATAAACGTTTTAAGACCGCAAAGAAACTAATATCAAGAGGTTGAAGTAGATGTGACAACAAGACTTAATGCGACTACTTTGCCAACTCTTGAATGCCATTGTTGGTAGCATGCTTGGGAGTGAGGATGAATAAGGTCTATTTTGGTCAATGAAACACAATCTGCAATATAATCAAATCTCTGGAAAAGAACCATCCCACGCCTGGGACATGCACTTCTGCACGCGCAGCCCCTGGGGAAAAGGGGGTGAAAAGGGAAATCTATGACATTAGCACGCTGACGCGCGATGAAGAATATGGAGATAATAAGTGTACAGGAAGAGAAAAATAATAAACATGGGTGGCTTCCCAACACCTCCCACCCTCCTCCCACCGGGCCGCCACATCGCAGCATGTAGCCAGCCGTCATCAACCATGTCATCAGTCTTTCTTTCATCACGGAACATTCCACAAACCTAAGCCTTCCTCCTCGGCGACTTCCTGATAGAAGACGCACCCCTCGTCGAAGCACCAGTCACCTCGACCTCCTCCGCGCTGCCATTCAACTTAATAGTCGGCACATTGACCCCAGTAATACTGCGTAACTCCTTCTTCTCCCTCTCCGCCCGCTCCTTCTCATCGCGCAACTCGCGGTCATACTCCTCATCATCCTCAGCGTCGCTGCGCTCATCAGAGAGGGCGTTGAAGAAGAGGAAGCGGTATGCGATGCGCAGGATCGAGAAGAGCCAGAAGAGATTGAGGCATTGCAGACAGCTGAGTAGAGCGGCGGTGATGTAGTGCGAGAGGTCGCACTTGTATTGCTCTGTTTCCCAGTTGAGCTCATAGGGGCCGATGGTCTTGAACTCGAAGAAGAGGGAGAGGAGGATGCGGAGGTTGAGGTAGTGGCGCATGTAGATCCAGACAAAGGTGAAGAGACCGAAGTAGGGGCCGACGAGGGGGTGGTCGATGTAGTTCAGGGTCTTGGATGTCTGTTAGGTGTCAGTGGTGGTCTCGGGCACGTATGCAGAGAACTTACAGCAAGGAAGAAATCACTAATGTCGTGCGTGGTATATACAGCCAGCCCGATATAAGTGAAGTGAAAGCGGTAGCTGAGCCCAATAAGCAACAAACTAACGATGTGATGTCCCACCAGCTCCTTAAAGTCCTTGCGCGGCTTCTCCATCCCAAACAGCAGCACGATAGCCTGCTGCGCCCAGTACGCCGCCTGGAAGAGGTAGTAGAACTTGAAGTCGGCCGCGAGCGTGCGGTGGGGGAATCCCTCGTACATGCCGGGGATGTTAAAGTACCACACTGGCGTGCGGCTCATAACGTACATGCCCGCGGGTCCCGAGCACGCAAAGTAGATAGCCGTGTACACCTGCTCCATGAAGCGGGACTGCTTGGCTCGCGAGCGCAGCCCGCAGCGTACCGCGAGGGGGCGCAGCAGCATCTGCATGATGAACTCGCGCGTGAAGGATAGAACCACGATGTAAAAGGACAGGAACGCGTAGTCCCAGTACCCCTTGCCGTATTTGTGCTCGGTGCCGGCAGGGCTCCCGGCAGGGATGGGTCGCTTGTAGGAGAGGAAGATGAAGCGGTTGATTATGTTGGACTCGGTGGGGTTGATGGCGTATAGGGCGGCAAAGACGCCGAGGATGGCGAGAGGTGTCACCCAGGTGTATTTTAGGGCAACGCTCTTGCATCTTCTCAATAGAGACTGAGCCTTCCTCCGCTTCGAGAACGGGCGCGCCTTGCGGTCGCGTTCACTCCTTGCCTATGTGACGACGTCAGTATGTCTTCACGACGGTATACCCCACCACAACCAGCGCAGAAACTCACCCTCGACAACGCCGCACTCTGCATTTTCAACTCCATCGTCGCAATGGCCGGCACACCAGTATCTCCCGCCCGGATCTCTCCCCCCAGTCCACTGCTCTTCCTCCTCCTCTGGACCTTCTTCTGAACGCTCGCGCCCGTCGTCTCCTCCGGCAGCAGCCTATTAACCCGCTCATCTAGCACCGGAAAGGGCTCCGTCTTCTCCATCGTCGCGTGGCTCTGTGTTCCTCCGAGGCTTCACAGTTTGTCCTCGGCCGAGGCGTTCCCAAGGGAAAAAAAGGGGGGGGTGTGTAATCGCCCAGCGAAAGGCGCACGGGCGGTGCTACGAGGGGTAGCGCGTGTAAAAGCTCAGATGCAGGGGCGTGTAAGCGTGTAGGTCGTGCGTGGACCTACGCGGATGAGGGGTTATAGGTGCAATTGCAGGTGATGTTGTACAAGGAGTGAAGGTGTTCGGCCGTTGATTTCACAAGCAACGCCGAAATGTTGTCGGAATGCGGGGAAACTATTACTCCGATGGTGGGGTCACCGTCATAACTACGTCGGATAAGGATTCTGAATTTAAGGGTTCAGAAGAGCACGGGGATATCATGCCGCCATGAAATAGTGTGCAAAAGTAAATAGGGGACCTGAACTAGAACACCAGAAGCCAGTAGTCACGGTTCTAGAAAGTCAAAGGGTTTAAGGTGAATGATCTAGCGTATAGATATATCTCCGCGCGCTATGGCACCGAAAAAACTACGGATGAATCAACCAGAAACCTTCCCAACTCGAGAATGGGTAAAAAGAAGTACACAAAGTAAGATATAGAAGGTATATGCTCCGTGAAAACCCTAATATCCAAAATAGAAGTCGCTAAATCCGACTTTCCCCGCAGTTTTTCTTTTGACAACCGGAAGCCTGTAGAAGAAACGCCTTCGTACGAGCCCAGTTACTGCTCTAAATCCATACATCCCAAGCACTTTGTCCCATTCGCCGATCCGCGGCCAGACACGTCCCCATCCTAACTCCCACAACGACTCTGCAATGCTGCTCAAAAACAATTCCTTCACCAAAACCTTCGCCACCATCACCTTATTTATTTATCCTTAGATAATCCCCCCTGGCGGCTCATATGCCTGCTGCACCCTCTGCCCATTGCCCCTCAGCGGCAACCTGCCGTCCAAACCCCCACTCCCTGGTGGCTCGGACCCCGGCCCCTCCGGATGTGTCTTTCTCAGCATGAACATAGGCTTCTTCCCCTCCTTATCCAGCTGTTTAAATAGAATTAACGGCTTCTCGTCCCTCTCTAGACAGCGCTCTTGGTCTCCGAATACGATATATAGGGCGTACTGCTCAGCCGGTGCGTTGATGTTGTACTTCTTGAGCGCGGCCGGCAACACCTTCCAGCACGGATCCTCCATGCTCACGCGGAAGGACTTGAAGATCTCAACGGATGACGACTGTGCGTCTAGTGCGGGAGTTGGGGCGCGCCGCGGCTGTCCGCCGGGCTTCATGCTGTCGCGCGGATAAGATTGGTAGGAGTTGAGGGTATCGCTCTCGTTGCCGGTGAATGTGCTGCGGCTAGAGGGGGTGTTGATCTCGTTGCGGTAGGAGCGGGAGGCGAGGGTGGAGCCGGAGAGAGTCTTGAGTTGGTGAGGTGGCGAGGTGGGAGATGGAATATTGGGAGATAGTCCTGGAGAGGTCTGTGGTTGTCCGCCGTTCATCGCTGCGAGGTGTGATGAGGATAGGACGGCTCGCTCAGCTGCTGCGGATGGGTCGAGCGCCTGCTCCATCATTGTGCGCTCCTGGGATTGATGGGTAGGCGATGCGTTCTTGGGAGTGGAGCCAAGGAAAAATTGCTTCGTCGAGAATTTTCGCTGGAGTCCGCCTCCCGACTGGCCTGATGATGGACCGGGCGCTGGAGGAGATATAGTCGCGGAATTGTCATATGCCGCGTATTGCTGGTTGTAGTTCTGGCTGCTCGGTGCGTTGGGGTGGTATGGGAGTGGTTGTCCCTCCTTCGCCATTCGGAACACGGGCAGCAGGTCTTCTCGCAGTCGACGGTACTCTTCTGTGATCTTGCGCATCTCAGCCTCTGCGATGCTCATCCGCTCGTCTCGCAGCCGTAACTGCTCCACTAGTTGTCTGATATCCTTGAGCGTCGCTGTGGCATACTGTGCTTCTGCATCGGCAGCTTCGAAAAGTCAGCACTGCCACTCTGTAACGGTATCGCCGGCAACATCAGACGGGACTCAGACTTACATAACGGCACATAGTGATCGCTCTCGATCCTCACATCCTGCTTGATCTTGATTTCGTAGACGCTCTTCAGAATCGTCAACCGATGTCCCACACTCCCAATCCCCATCTCCTTCAAATCCTCATGCAGCAGCGCCACCAGACTCTGTCCCGTAATATCGTTCTCTGTAGCACACCGTTAGCTCCCATCCTTTACTCCCCCCTCACTACCGCCCCCACCCTCTCTCCCATGAGGAAAAACTCACCCAAAAAGATGCCCGTATAAACACTCAACCCCAACCCGCCCACAAAGTCTGCACACTCCTCCGCTGTCCAGTCGACAACCCCCCCTCCCCTCTCCCCTCCGCTCATCCTTCCATATGTCGTCGGTGTGTGCTCGCTCCCACTCCCCGATTCATCGTCCTCGCTGCCACTATCCACACTGTCGTCGTCGGTAACCTGCACAGGGCTGCTCGCATGCACACTGCGCTCGTACTCGTCGTCGGCGTCGGACTCAGGGTACGCTGTGCTGGACTCAAAGGCCATTTTGGTGGTGGGTGGGTGGTCCCCTCCGTCTGTGCTGATTTGTTCTCGTTGCGGGGTTGACTCCGCTGTACGCCCTGTACTCTGCTTCCCTCGTTCTGCTTTTCTCGGGTCGCCAGTCGCAGTGAATTTGTACGTTGTTCTGCCTTCCTTTCCTTTCGATTTCCGTTCCTGTGGTCGTGAGGTCGAGACAGTTCAAGAACAGACTGGTAGGTAGAGCGGCTCCAGCTGCAGCGTCTGGGTTTGGCTAGCACGGGTCGGCGCTAAGCCGGCTAGGGGTGCGAACAAGGGTTGGTGGGCGAGGAAGAGGGCTAGCGGGCGGCTTTTTCCGCCAGGTACGGGATGGGCGACGCCAAGAACCGCCGCTTTGGGATTGGGGGGGTTATGGGTAGAACGGGGGGGATGAGGGGGGGTACGACTGAGACTTGTTACGTTGCAGGCGGCTGTGTTAGGGGGAGAAAACTCCTTTCCTCGACAATCCTTTCTTCTTTTCTCTGTCCCTTGTTGAAGAGTTTTTGTTTACTCTTTACTCTATCTATCTAATGATATTACGGCAAGGAAGCCGTTGAAAATCTCACTTGATACCATGAACCGACGCAAAATTGATCGCCTCCCCACTATCCAAAGCATGCCCGCTCGCCCACCCCGTAACACTCGCCGCCTTCATAACCAGCGTCACCGTATCATCGTCTTAGTATTGATAAAATGATCTGCCCCTAGCTTCTTCGCAAACTCCGCCTTATCCTCACTAGTAACCCATCTTCTTCGCATACTGCACCGCCAAATGCCCCAATCCACCTAGACTCTGAACAGCAACAATCGCGCCGTGGATGACATTGTTGTTATCGTGGGACAAGCTACTTGGTAGTTTGCTTTGTGATAGTGTAATGAGGATATGTGAGAATGTAATGAGGATATGTGAGAATGTATCGATATGCGTTAAGGCATAGGTTTCCCTCGATATATGTTTCTATCTTTTTCTTAACGCATATCGATACATTCTCACATATCCTCATTATAATAACCTATGCCTTAAGTAAGTCCAACTTCACAATGCCCAAAAGGCATGTGAACTTGATTTTGTAATCCAGTAATTACGCATCGCTCTGCCTCTTAATTGGCCGATAAGTAAAAGATGGGCGATATCCCCAAATGCGGACCGCCTTTCTATGATATCACCGTCAAACAGTGACGACATGGTGTTATGGAGTTAGTTGCCACTATCGCATTTACTCGTGCGGCCCAAAAGTTTCCACAGGGTCTGTGAACAACAGCCAATTAGATTGTAGGAATCTACCAAGCACCATGTACTTGTACCCGAGTACACGCGTAGAAAATGTACACGCGTAGAATATGAGAGTGAATGAAGCAATGAAGTAATGCTCAACAATGGCTGAAATCTCAATACCACTACGTGCTGCAATTATTACCTTGCGTGTATACATGAACACATCATATGGAGAGATTGAAAAGAAGCTTGGAATCTAAGCTGACTCTATTGCATATATATGGCACCAAACTGTTAAAAGGCAGGGAATACTGAAATTCACAACCTTCTCCAACACCTCGAATCAAAGCCACGAAGCGGAAGACCACAGACAATTCAAAAGGATTCTGAAGAGTCACTATGCATACGATCTTTGCTACTTGCAAATCCATTTGACACTTTTTATCAAAGTCAAGTCACGTGGTATCAGTCATGTGAAGCGTAGCGAGATCGTAGTGTAGATCCTAGTGTAACACTGACTTCTAAACAATAGAAGATGTAAGGACACAGGGCACCCAGCTCACAGTAATAGCATATGAGAGTGCGAGTCGGAGGCTAAACGGATACTATCCTATAGGTCTACTACGAAGGATACAAAAAAGATGATGAGGAACCTGTAATGGTGGGTGTGTCATACTGACATTCGTTGCACTCAGTTTGCTATCAAGCTCAAGAGCAAACTTAGAAATCTCCTCCTCAAACCTACAAGTCACTATACATATTTTGGCTTATCACACCAACAACAAGAGCAATACTACTCAACGATTGCTACAACCCTCTATAATTCATTACACGTCATTGCTCCTTAGTTACTGGGCCGATATGACCACATAGCATATCTCTACAACCCTCTATGATATGATTCATTACATGACATCACTCCTTAGTTACTGGGCTAATACTACACATGACATATCTCTATCAACTAGAGGCCTAGGAACATGAACGATAGCTCCAAAAGCTTCTACAACCCTCTATGATTCATTACATGTCATTGCTCCTTAGTTACCTACAAGATTGGTTAAGTTATGACATAATCTGTCTATAGGAGTACTCTGACCTTGGACCTCCTTTCACTTCCTATAGGCTAGGAACCTAAGAGATGGTTCTATGGGATTCTCTTACGTCGACTACAGTTACCAAGCCTGGTTAGTCATGGAAACTCTTGGAAAATGAGAGAACTACACTCCTTTAGCATAAATAGGATTGCCCTTTCCTTAAGAAAGGGCAAGCAGACAATACAGTAAATCGACTATCACATACTTCCACGTCTTTTCCAAGCTTCCAAGCATTGATCTTGTTACTCCTTGTTTCTGAAAAGTCAGTGAGGTGCTAACCTCTAACTTATCCCTGAGTTCTCAGACTCAACATTTGTTACAACTTGTCTAAACCACTCCACTATATCATACACCTGATTGCTGCATTGTGGAATAGTGTTACGGCTATAGTAACATGATGTCATGGTTACAGGGCCAGGGCCTAGTAACGTGACGTGTGAGTCACATAACGTGACGTGTGAGTCACAGTGGGAAGCGGGGTAGGCTGCCATGTGACGGGGCTAATGGATAGTTGCAGAAACTAGTGGATATTGGATAGTTGAGCTATCCACGAACTATCCTGAATATCTAGCTATCCGCCAACTATCCAGATTACCCATGAGGCACGACGCCACTATATAAGTAGATAGTATTTCCTTAGATAGGAGCTTCGTGCTCAACTCAATACAGTATTTGTTATATACTAGTAACGTGTTACTTGAAGCCTTTGTGTCTGATCCCCTGCCTCCTCTGATAAGTAAACCTTTACGCAAGAGAACCTCTGTGTCTTCTATCGTTTAGAAGTCAGCGTTACAAATAGTCTAAGCTACGACCCTTTGGCTCTTTTTCCTAAGACAGTGTGTTGTCTTAGTAAAATCATCCCTTCCTTGGGTGGATAGATTCTCATATCTGGTGCACCCACCATTACAAAACAGCCTTTGAGGCTATCCAAGCCCAGTCACAGCAGCAGGTTACATTAGATAGGTGGATTACATAATATACTCTATATAACGATATATACGATAAGACGATGGAAATCCTTGCTACGGATGCCATCGTCTTAACAAGGGTTTGACTGTACTTAATTGCCAAGGTCACGCCTAGTGGACACTCTACGTTTCTCTAAGAACTTCACACTAATGAGATTCGTAGGAAATTCCACATTAATGACCTAAAACCATAGCAAGACCTTCTGTCCCATAATGAAGAGAATCGCAAACAAATTCAGAGGAAGCAGAAATTCTTAGAGGAGGAAATCTAGCGCCGTGCGGCCATCTTCCGCGAGTAGGGACTCCTAATCGAGAATGATAAGGCCCTACTACAACACGATCCACCATGGTAGGAGCAGTTCGTCCATTATCCAGCTGACACAGCTGGCGAAGGCGACCCCTGATATTAGGAAGGGCGTTAGATGAATCTGCAGCACACCTAGGCACCGCGTGGTGCCTTTCTCCCTTTCTCTAGTGAGAGAACAGGGGAGTCTTGTCGGGGAGGAGTGGAGTGAATGGGGCGCAAGAGGGTCTACGGAAACCTTATGTAAATGAGCATCAATGGAGAAAAGGGAGCAGTGATGGTAGGGAGTGTTTTGCACATTAAGGAATATCTGCTGGTCGGACAGTTGTATTTTAGCGTGTGGTTCGTGTTTGTGTAACAACAAGAGCAGTGCTCATGTCTATTTGCGTTTTCTGTTTCGGTGTGGAGAAGGAAGCCTAAACAACGGACGAAGTTAATGCAGAGATGAGTTGCATGGATTAGCAGATTGACTGCGCAGGCATTGTATCTAGAAGGGCATCGCCAGGTAAGCAAAGGTATCCGGGAGGATCAAGGTGTTGGTCAGAATGGAAGGGGGGTGAATGTACAGAAAATGTAAGAGAGCCTTGGTAGAACAGGGCAGCGAGAAGTCACGTTATGGATAGTTACATACTAAGGCCCTCTATTGATATGTGTCATACTGACATTTGTTGCACTCAGTTTGCTATCAAACTCAAGAGCAAACTTGGAAATCTCCTCCTCAAACCTACAAGTCACTATACATATTTTGGCTTATCACACCAACAACAAGAGCAATACTACTCAACCATTGCTACAACCATCTACGATTCATTACACGTCATCGCTCCTTAGTTACTGGGCCGATATTACCACATAGCGTATCTCTACAACCCTCTATGATTCATTACATGACATCACTCATACTACCACATGACATATCTCTACCAACTAGAGGCCTAGGAGCATGAACGATAGCTCTAAAAGCTCCTACGAACCTCTATGATTCATTACTTGTCATCCTCTTTAGTTACCCACAAGATTGGTTAAGTTATGACATAATTTGTCTATGACATAATTTGTCTATGACATAATTTGTCTATGACATAATTTGTCTATGACATAATTTGTCTATAGGGGTACTCTGACCTTGGACCTCCTTTTACTTCCTATAGGCTACGAACCTAAGAGATGGTTCTATGGGATTCTCTTACGTCGACTACAGTTGCCAAGCCTGGTTAGTCATGGAAACTCTTGGAAAATGAGAGAACTACACTCCTTTAGCATAAATAGGATTGCCCTTTCCTTAAGAAAGGGCAAGCAGACAATACAGTAAATCGACTATCACATACTTCCACGTCTTTTCCAAGCTTCCAAGCATTGATCTTGTTACTCCTTGTTTCTAAAAAGTCAGTGAGGTGCTAACCTCTGACTTATCCCTGAGTTCTCAGACTCAACATTTGTTACAACTTGTCTAAACCACTCCACTATATCATACACTTGATTGCTGCGTTGTGGAATAGTCTAAGCTACAACCCTTTGGCTCTGTTTTCTAAGACAGTGTGTTGTCTTAGTAAATTCATCCCTTCCTTGGGTGGCTAGATTCTCACATCT